GAAGGGAAGAAAAGAAGAGAAAATGTAATGGTGGTGAAATGAGTGGTAGGAGTGAGAGGGATGAGAAACCTTGAGAGCTTTTCAGTCTGGTCATAGAAGGATCTACATAGGGGACAAAATACATCAAGAACTCACATGGATTTTGGGAGGCTGAGGCAAGAGGATTGCCTGAGCGCAGGGGTTCGAGACCAGCCTGGGCAACTTGGTGAGATCTCGTCTCTACAAAATATCAAAAAATTAGCTGGGTGAGTTAGTGCGCACCTGTAGTTTCAGTTACTTGGGAGACTGAGGTAGAAGGGTCGCCTGGGCCCAGCAGGTTGATGAGCATGCCACTGCACTCCAGACTGGGCAACAGTGAGACTCCAACTCAAAAAAAAAAAAGAACTTACATGGAGTCCAGGTATGAATGTAAACAGCAGCCTTCATTAGAGGAAATGAGGAAATGAGCCACAAAATGATGTTATGTGTGAGAAGTTGTATGCCTAGAAGCCAAGAGGCAGGTGATTTTTATTGGGCAGCCAATACTTAGATCTGGCACTAGCTGGTAGGATCTGTCAACTCTGTACTGCTTCCATTTGAACTCCAGATTTTGCTCCCACACTAGCTTAGTTACCTCATAGTTGGAGCCTATGGAAACTGAATCAATTTACTCCATTCAAGTACAGTAGTTGGCCCCTTTCTGCAACCTTGACATATACCCAATAGAGGACAGCTGATTTCTGTTGCTGTATGTATCGTAGTGTTCTCAGTGGCATAGGTTACTTGCATCACTTTTTCTACCACCAGAGGAAGCACATGAGAATGCAAATACATGAGAATAATGTAATTTTAGGCCAGATTTGCAAACTGGTATCTGACAGACAGAATAGAGTCTTTAGTCACATTTTAAAAACAAAATTTCAATGCATTGCATACTGTCATATTGTGAAATATAGTTTTGGTCTTTGACTCTGTTTCCTGGCATACAACTCGTAACATCCTTACAATTACCAATGTGATGTGTTTTTGTATGTTGATGAGTTGACCTATGGCTAGTTTCAGGATGAGGGCTGATTTTCTGAAAGACGAAGGCAGGAGCAGAGAGCTGGAACTTTAAGCTCCACCCCCAACCTCTGAGAAAGGAAGCAGAGCTAAAGGCTGAGTTGATCACTGATGGCCAAAGGTTTATTCAATCATGCCTATGTAATGAAGCCTCCATAAAAACCCAAAAGGACAGGATTCCAAGAGTTGAGAGGTTTTGGATAGCCGAATACATGAAGGTTTCTGGAGGGTGGTGAGCACAGAAATGGCACGGAGACTCCACACCCCTTCCTATATCTCATGCTATGCATCCCTTTATCTGTACATTCTGTAATATCTTTTGTAATAAAAAAGTGAATGTAGGTGTTACCCTGAGTTCTATCAGCCACTCTAGAGAATTAACTGAAACCAAGGAGAGGGTCGTGGGATCCCCGATTTATAGTCGTTCGATCAAAAGTTCAGGTAAAAACAACCTGGGACTTTGGGTGTCTGCTGCAGAATTGCTTGGTTGTTTGGTGTGTAGGGGAATAAAACCTACATTTGGTCACTGAAATCTTCTGTGTTGTCTGTTGCGTGGTGTAAGAGCAAAGGAAAATACTTGAATTTCTGAATATTTCTAAAACAATCAGAAAAATCTGGCCACACTGGCTCCTTAATCCTATATGGCAACAACCAGCTAAAACCAAATTCTGGTCCTGCAGTGTGCCAGGGTTTCCAGAGTCATCATGACATGCTTCTGGCACCTCAAGTGGCTCTGCTTAACTAAGTTGTGTTATTTGGCTATCTCCCGTAGGTTTATGTGCTGTTTATGCCCTGTTTGAGAACTATTCTTGAACCAATTATACTTCCTTTAAAAATTTTATTTGCATATTTCATATAGTAAGAAGCCACTTCCAACCCACTCCATGATGTATGGCCACATATCCATGTGCCATGCCTAATGGTTGTAAAACAACTGTCTTGTGGAAAATCTGGCTTTAGGTTTTCCTCATGGCATACATGTAAATCTACTTATGGGTTGTAGCTTCTCTAAGCAGGTAGGAATCAGGGTTGGATAAACGTTGTCTGGTCTGTAAATATAGTCAGTTATGGTTGGGGATCTGGCTTTCATATATGGTAATTGGTTATCACCTTTTAATAATGTAACTAGTTATCAGAATAGGTGAGAGCTTGATATATTTTGAAAATGAGAAAAAATACCTAGGTAAATAAAATTAATAAATGAGAGCCACTCATGGAACAATTTTGTGAGCATGTTATGACATCCAATGATATGCCCCTGAACTCTTTTACGAGGAAAAAAAATATTCTGGTCTATTCTACCTCAAATCTCTAAATCTTTAATAGGAGACTTATGGTAGGAGTGTATATAATTAATGTTCTCCTCTTTAATTTACTTTGAAGTGTGAACATGATTCTGTTTCAACAGTTTTGTATTATGCCTGTGGGTACCAGGAAATTAGGTTCTATTGCTGTTGCTACTAGTCCTAAGTTCTCACAGCCCTAAGTAGTGCCATTTATCATGTTTTCTTGTATTTATAAACTAGATCTAGTCCTACAATTCACTAAACACCTAATCTTTTACTTAGAAGGCAGACAGCTCACGAAGAGACATGACACACTTCTTTGTCAAGCAAACTCTAATAGCTTTTGGAATGGGGCAGCCATGCTTAATTAAAAGAAAAAGTCATATTATGACATAATATTTCACCTTCTAGGAAGCAGCGCATACCCCATGCAGGTGAGAAATGTGGTGGATTTCCTCGTATAAACAATTTTTATGCCCTCATAACTTACTGTATCAGTGGCAATGGCAAGGTGGCATAATATACTGCACTATAAAACCGCTATATTGCTTTGTGAAAGTTATACTGAATTTGTTAAAAAAAAAAAAAGATGGTGAATTGTGTGTTCATGAAAACATTCTTCATCATTTTATAATGAAAAAAAGTCAAGTAGTCAATTTCTCAATGTGTTTGCCAAGACCATTAATAGATAAATCTAATCACCCCAAAATGTCAACGAATAAGCTTTACCCTACTTGAAAAATCTTGATCTTATGAAATAAGCCATATTTTCCCTTTTACCAAGAGAAGGGCTCTGGATGAAACTCTGCATTTACTCTAATTGTGTTGTAACATTATTCATCATACTGAATGCACAAGCTCAAAATCAATATTAGTCATAGTACACTGAGCTTTTTATCACCAAAAATACGTGATATAAGTTTTTACACCATAAATGTTCAGATTCAATAGGCAGATGGTAACTACTGAATTCTCCAAACTAGAGTAAGTTAAGTTTAAACACAATTTGATGGTTCATACATTTGTGTAAGGGATTTGGATAAGTCCAAATTGAATTTGATGACATTTACAAATATTTGCACTGTCTTATTGGATGGTTGCCTGATTCTGATGTGATCTTTTTCCCTGTTTTTTTCTCCAGGTTCTTTCAAGGGAGGCTATTGCATGAATTGACCAATGGGAAATGAACTAACAGCTGTGGACCTCTAGTCTGTCGCTTTCATTGACTTAAAGGCTCTGGTTACAGCCGTGAACACCACATATTGTAAGTTATGAGAAGTGTCTGCATGTGTGAGCCTTATAAAAGAGCCTTATAAAAGGCTTCTGTCTTCTCATCAGATTTTCATTTAGGATCAATGCTTTTGAAAAAGTAACCCAGAGAACACCAGTCTCATAGTATAGTCCACATTTTCAGAGAATCTGGGGCAATCATAATACTTGCAATATTTTAAAATACAATTAGCTCATCTCAATTTAGGCATGTTAGGAATTTTTATGTAAAAATAGAGATTTCTTCTACTTCTGAAAAATTGAAAATATGACAATGCAGTGATTATATCGTCACATAAGAATAATTTCTTATAGTTTCCCATTATGCACAGCATGCACTCTCCACTAGCCAAGTGACCACCCAATATACTTGGATTGTAGAGGTTTACTACTCAACTTCCCTGGTTCTCGTCTTTCTTGAAGATACACAATGTCTTTTGGTGGATTAAAGGCACTAACAATTCCCTCAGTATTTCTATTTTATTTTGTTTGAAAAATTTCTCCAATATATTTGATATATAGAAGTTTTTTTTCCTCTGCATTTTAGGATGCACCATTCTAGATGATTATTTGGGTTGATGGTTTCAGTTTTTACCCTAAAGTTTACAGATAAAAGGCAATTTCTAATATTTTACTTGGTATATACATCTGAACCATAAATTCAAAATAATTTTGATTTGCTGGTATGAATTTTATGCTGCTTTCTGGCAAATCTTTGTGAAATCATTTGGGAAGGCTAGATTTGCAGTCAGGATTCTACTCCTATCTCTGGATGCTTTTACAGGCCTTTTAGGTACAAAATCAATTTATCTAGTTAGAGTGTTTACATGTTCAGTCAGACTTCAGGCTATCTTGGTAGAGATGAGGGAGCCTTTGGATTTTACCTGAGATTTAAATTAAAATGTCTAGACTATATGACTCAGTGTGCTACTGCTCTTATAAGAGGCCCTAACAATATGCATTCTAGAGAATAGGTTTTGCAGAAAAAAACCAGATACACTTGCAAGATGATAAGGTAAGTGATTGGAATGTAAAGTACTATTATGGTATCCCAGAAAAACTAGAACTTAAGTACATATTTCCTTTTAATAAGCATTATCGGAGTAAATCTCACAAAGAGAAATCATCAGTACTTTTTTGTGGAGGTGGTCTGCCCCATATGTATCATCCCAGTGACCACTATGAAAGTCCAATAATGGAATTTCTCATTTCATCTTGCTGACTGAGGACACTGCAGTTTCAGCAGTGAATTTCTGGTTTTCAGCATATTGGAAATAGCTGTGATGGAAGCAAAGCCCTCATAGAAGAAGTTCTGACGGACTTCTGTGAATTTCTGAGCAGGGTGTTTTCTAGATTTAGTTAAAGGTGATTTAGTAAAAATAAATGGCAAATAAAGAGGACAAGTAGGTTTAGAAAGAAGTTATTTACCACTTTAATAGGGCTGTCCAACATTTGGTCACGTAGATCATTCTGAAATCTAATTGCTTTCGTAGCCTTCCTATCTCACCAGAGGAGATCTAAATACTCTTGGAAAAAGCAAATCAAACATAGAAAGAGGTGCCATGATAAGACTTGTTGCTACAGCACTATGTAGTCAATGATGCCAGACTTTGGATTTAATCAGAGGACATTTCTGCAGTCTAGGACAGCTATACAAAGCCTTAAGACATTGTATTTACAGGACTTACTAATGCAGGGATCCATATCCTACCATAACTCTGCCAGAGTCTTAATAGTATGGTGGAGTAGCTCCCTCAAGAATCCTCATTTTGTTATATGTGGAAAAGCTAGTAGTTCTAAAAATAGTTTCCTGGAAGAGGTTAGAACGGTTATTACATATCAATTGAATATAACATATGGTTATGTAAGCCAAGCTTGCATGCTAATATTTCACAGGGTAGAAAGCAATAAAACAGGACGATGCGCTTCCTTGGGCCATCCGGTAGAAACAGAAGCTCTTGATTCAATATTATTATGATGCCTCGAATTCCAGGAGTCCACCTCTAGCTGGCTTTCCAGTGTCAGTACCATCTTGAATTTTCAAAAGGGCACATATCTTCCTTGCCGATAGAAAAAAAAGAAATTACAAACAAACAAAACAGACAAAACATCCAAAACTCAAAGGGGTACACCAGCCATCTCAAACTGTGGTACTGTTCATTTCTTGAAGAGAATATATAATATTTCAAAATATTATATATATACATATATTTCAAATGGTACAAAGTAACTATAGATTCAAATTAGAAGATAGTTGATCGTTCTTCATGATCCCAAAAAATTCCACTGAGAAAACCCTTTTTAAAAACCCACTTTCCATGGTGTTGCCAAAATCTCTGAGTCTTCTCACTGTAGGATATCTCATTATACACAGTAAACGCACTGTGATTTTCTGGTAACCAGTAAAAGTGCAAATAAGAAATCCATTTGGCTTGTAAATGTGTAAGATGTTTTAAATTTTCAAAATGTGTTTTCCACAGGGTTGCTTTTTTTTACTATCACAAATGCTTCTGTTAGGTTCTTGGGTGAATCTGAAACCAAAGAAAGAAAGATATTTTAGGAATAGAAGTTCAAAGTGAAGGCACAAAGAAATGTAATTAAGCAGAAAATGAAGACACCTTGAATTTCTAGGATGTTGCTTCTTTCAGGTGATCCAAAGTAAAAAAATCTTACAGTTTAGAGCAGTAGTGTTTTTTCAAATAGTGATCAGATCATATTGATAGGCCACCATATTTTTGCCAATGCATTAAATTAATTTTTGTCACAACTGAGGAGAAAGACTCATGAAGCAGTGTCTATCTGGGAGTGACTTGATGAGTATGTGAAATATGTAGTTGCACAAGGACGTAACCTGGAAAGTGCTCCATGCTTGGCTTAATACTCTTCTGTTGTTTTCTTAAAGTTGTTAATATTTTTTGAACAAGGGCTCTGCATTTTCCTTTTGTACTGGGCCTTGCAAATGATGTAATCGGTCTTGTATCTATCTGTTGAGAATTTGAACTAAATATGTCATTCCAGGGTTTTGTCAAGTTAATTTGCTGTAAGATGTGGAGGGATGGCATGGGCCAAGGTTAGACCACATCTGTGTAGAAGCATAGGAGATCTTTGCAAGCTGAAAAATTGTTCCTCTCAATGTCTCAGTGTTTGAGGGTAATCAAGAGTAGAATTCTGTAACAACATATGTTTTCTCATCCATTTGAATATGGCCTTAAGGACTCAGATATTCAAAAGGAAGCATGCACAGAGTACTGCTGGTTTGAATAATAAGTAATGATTCTAATAGAGTTGAAATCTCGATTCTAAAGTTATAGGAAACCAGGTATTTTTCTCTATCATCTCTTAATTTTTTATTGTTTTAGAAGTTGAATATTCTGAGTCCAGGGTTAGAGGTCCATTTAAAGTTTTCAGAATTGGGCAGGAAGAATAATAAAAATTTGCATTTGAAAGTTGGTTGGGCCAGGGGTAAAATATATGAGAAATTGCCACACATTTATTTTCTTATCCTCTTTTTCTAAAGAATAGATCCTTCCAAACTGGTTTTCTACATTCCAGTGGACTTCATCATCTTTTGTTTATAATGTTCTCTTTTTTTTACCTCAAGGAGGCAGAAAGTGACATTTACAAAACTAAATTGAAACTGTCTTTCCTCTTTCTCTGTACTACCATCCCCAGCATTACTTCCATGGAAGTCTTTCATATCTACCATCACATCCCCAAGACCTTAATATACTAAATTTAGATAGTAAAAGCTTGAATATATTTATTGGCTAAAGAAGTGATTGAATTTGCTTGAACCCAAGGGCATTTGTGATCATATAAATTGATTTATTCTTCCTTCTAAGTCTCTCGTTACTTATCATGTCTTTTAAAGTCTTTTCTTTATTTTCTAATTCTTTACCCTTCTGGACAACCCTTGCTATTATTTCTTTAGATCTGTTTCTCTCTTTCCTTTTTTCTTTCTTTTTAAAAGTCATGCAAAATGGATTGGAGGCCAGGATTGTAAAGTCATAGGCTCTCAGAAAGTTTCAGACTTGGTGAATTTGAGTGCAGAAGCACTGTCAAAGCGGGTACTTTGCCCTTTCAGTAATACAAAAACAATGGGGTGATTAGAATGAATGGAGATGTTTAAAATCAGAGGCATCATCAGAAGGAGTGGCCCAGGAAAGGGTAGGCAAAAGATTGTGGTAGATTTATGTTGGGCAGTTACATAAAACAATGATTTAATAAGATGGGCACTGTGGTTAGTTATGTAATCTGAGGTCTACTAACTTCCTCTTCTAGGGATTGAAACTTGACTTTATATTGTACACTAACTGTTGATTTTCTCACTAGTCTAAGACATTCAAATATTGGAATGCAGCACATTCAGTACTCTTTGATACTTCTCAAGGTATTACACCAGATTATGTTCTGCTGTTTTAACCCGTCAATTTTTCTTTTCCAGTGACTTTAGTTTTCTTTTCACTTCATCCTCTTCCTCTGCCTGCCCTCAAACAATTGATGTTCAGTTTCTAGCTGGAATTCATTATAACATTACCAAATAACTCATTTTCTTCAAGGGGAAGTCTGTCTTTCCAAATTAAGTCATTGTTCCTGAATATACAAGCTATAGATGTGTTCCTGAATACATGGGATATAGCCTCCGTAACTTTCAAACTTGTATATTTGATATATTCATTTAAATAGAAGAAATAAATGAAAAGGTATCTAAAACCACAAGAAAATAAATTCTAGTCAATAGTTAGAGTGATTTGGATTTGTCCTGCTACTAACTACCAACAAAGCAATTTAATAAAATAATTTAAGCAATGCTCAAGAAGAGACAGGGTTAAAATTGGGCCATGAAACTTCACCAGATGTACCAAGCTTCTCTCCAGGAGGGTGTGTGCTAGCAGATTTATTCCACTCAAGGCTGGATCTTTAAAAACATCCAAGGGACCTACTTCTTTTCTATAGGGTAACTATAGAATTCAGGAATCTTTCTCTTAAGATTTATTCTTTTGGTCGAGTTCAGTGGCTCAGCCTGTAATCCCAGCACTTTGGGAGGCCGAGGTGAGTGGATTGCCAGAGCCCATGGGTCTGAGACCCACCTGGGCAACTTTGGCGAGACCTTGTCTCTACAATAAATAAAAAATTAGCCAGGCATGGTAGTGCATGCTTGTAGTTCTACTTGGAAGGCCGAGGCAGAAGGATCACTGGATCCCAGCAGGTCGAGGCTGCGGTGGCCGGGAGTGTGCCACTGTACTCCAGTCTGGGCAACAGAGTGAGACTCCAACTCAAAAAAAAAAAAAAAAAGATTTATTCTTCCAAATCTTCTGAGAGAAAAGGCTTTGCCTAATTTCATCTATTTTTTCTATTTCCTTCTGTGGATAATATTGTCACCAAGATCCCAAAGTTTTCCCTTAGAGTGTGACCTGTTACCTAGGCAATCTAATCCACATTCTGGAGTGTCTAGTGTTTAGATGAAATACTGAATTTCTACTTTCCATACTTCTTGAAAAATGAACACCGTAAAATTTTAAATTAGATAACACTTTGAAGCATTGTTTGTTTGTATACATTTCAAAGACTTCTGAGAATTTTGTCCTCGGATGACTATTTTGGAAGTAAACTGCAAAGTTGGAAGGTTTGGGATAAAAGCTTTTACATGGAAATAAAATGAAGTCCTAGGAAGCTTTCCTGCAGTTACTTTTATATTGGAGTTGCTTTTTAAAATAACAGTATGAAGAAAAATCTCAGTTGTCATTAACAATTTGGGTATGTTTCTTCAGCTTTCTCTTTTCTTTCTTTCATACTTTTTTTTTTTTAAGAGCACACTTTCTGAATCAAGTTTACACAAAAAAGAACAAAAGAGGTGGTATTCTTTATTTTTCTTACCTCTTTGATAAGAGCAGAACAATGAAAACATATAACTCATGATAATTAAAGTACATCTGAGAATTAAATGATTTTAAAAGTTAAATTGTTAGAGTCAATATTTGAAGAGTGTAGGCAAATTTGTGCTCTGATAGGGAAAAACATCTAGAGCATACAAGAAAAAAATTAATATAAAACCTATTTTCAGAGCATATGATCTAAGGACTGGTGTTGATATGTTACATACACAGAATGAATGGCTTCTATGTGCAACATCTGGATTTAGAGGGTACCTTTTGTATTTAAATGGATACACATGTCAGAACAGGTAAATCTGCTGCTTTCTACTCAACTGCAATAGCTATTTATTTCTCTTGTACATTCAACTGTCTGGGCTGAACTCAGCCCACCCAGGGCAGTAGTACTCCAATCTCTGTTACTGTGATCAGATATGACAATACTCCTGTGATGCTGGAAAATGTCTAGGGTGCATTTACTACATGCCTGATGGTTTTAAAATACACTCTACAGACATCAAATAGAAGAAAGTTGCATAGGTCACAAAAAAGTAGTCTTAAAATTTTCTGGGTTTTTTTCTTGTTTATTTGAGTTTATATTCTATGTTTCAAAGAGTCTCTTAGTATTCTTGGAGTTTTATATATTTAAATCCTGACTTGAGACTTTTTTTAAAACTAAACTTGGGTCTAGAGATACCATGAGAGCAAGACTTACCTTCGATAAAGGGAAATCAGTTATCAATTGGAATAAAGAATAGAGTTTTGACAGAAAAAATATCAGCAATTTATTTAAAACAAAGGTGACTGGATTCTAATTATACTGGCCATAATTCAGAGTAGCTTAAACTAATTTGTGAGGACTTCTTCAAATTATTTGTAAAATCATTTTCAGGTAAAATGTAACCAAAGGGAAGCTTGACATCTACCCTCCACTAGCTAATTAAAATGATTTCTGTGGGTAAGTGGCACGAACCAGACTCATTTCTGAATACTCTCTTCTGTAAGTGTTTCATTGAAATGAAATACAGTAATCCCCATTTAGCAACTTGGGAACATGCAGATGCATATTAATAAGCTAGTGGTTTAAAATCCCTCCTGGCTACAGACCAGGGAGGTATGGCCATTTAGTTACTGTGGTCAAAACAGACAACTAAATTTGACATATAAAATGTCTCCACTTATTTTATATGTTAAAAAATGTGTTTTTGAAAGGATGCAGGGAAATTCACCCCAAAATATGGCATTTTGCCTTAAAGTCTTTCTCAAGCTGCTTCCTCTCAGTGATAGAATTATCTATTGTTGGAAAGGAGTGGAAGAATGTAATCAGACTTGGTTCAACCATTGTACAACATAATGCCTGTCTCTCAAGTTCATTCACCCTGAGAGATGTTTCCCTCATGCATTCATTTCCCCAGTTATTTGTTGCTCCTCAACTGAATTCTTCTTCTTCTCATTCCCATACCCTGTTTTACCAGAATCCAAGCCCACATTCTTTCTGAAACCTTGACATAGTATTTAATTTTTGGTAACTTATTGAGAAGTTGGGTCTTCATACCAAAGACTCTTGTGTATACACATTCTTTTCAATTAATTTTCTCCTATTAATTAATCTGCCTCATGCCACTGATTTTTCAGTGAACCTTTAGGGAGTCAATGAC